TATATATATATATATATATAGTGTGTGTGTGTGTAATGCTATAAGAAGCTCTTGATGTGTTTTTTCAAGACATGAGAAGAGGACTTTTACCCATAAAAGGATTTTTTTGAAAAACCTAAAGATGAAGAATCTAAAAGGATTTGGGTGTTGACGAGAACAATGAAATTCGAACTAAAGATGGAGGGTGTATAAAATGATAGAAGAGATAAAGAAGAATCATAAATCTTCACCTATTACACCTTACATTGATTCCAACCTTATCCCATAATTTTAAGAATTAGATTGGCTAAAACAAATTGTTTGGAAAATATAGCTACTTAGCTAGTAATAATAATAAATTTGAATAAAAACAATGGAAAATAATAATATAGGAAAAATATTACTTAATCTTCTAATTTTATTTAGAAAAATATTGTCTAAAGAAATACATGAAACTAGGGAAACTACGGGTGCGTATGAAATGCCCCGTCTCATTAATTCGATCCGAGATTAGTGTCAACAAATTTTAGTTTTAGAATTTAGACTTGATGTAAACATTTTTTTTTATTTTAGATAATAATGTATTTACTATATATTAAAATAATGATTACGGTGGAATACGTGTTCCTTTCTCATTGTTTATTTTTTTGGTTATTTTATTTTATTTTCCTATTTTATTGAATTTCTTTTTTTAGCTAATTTTGTAATTATATTATTATTATTGTCTTTGTTTTATTAGTAAAAAGGGTACTTCATGCCTCATTAATATTGTGGAATGTAGTTACAAAATGGAATGAAATATGAAGTTTATTAAAGAATAAAATAATTTTAATAAATAATAATTTTTTTAAATTAATAAAATAAAATTATTGAATTATCCCACACTAAAAAAAAATGAGTGTGATACAATGAACCTTACAAGTTTATATTTTTAATAAGATGATATTATAATATTATATAATTTATATTTTTAATTTTCTAAATGTTAGATGATGACACTTGTAGGATTATCTTTGTAGTTGTTGAGTTATAAATAATGTATTTCCTTAGTCTTGGAGACAAGAATGAAAATATCTTGGTCTTTATTTTATTTTTTAAAATGTTTTAAGACTAAATTTACATTTAGTTTTTTTATATTATTTTTATATTCATTTTAGTTATTTATCTATTAAAATGTTTATTTTAATTATTTATCTTTAACACTTTAATTAATTTAGTCATTTAAAAATAATAATATATTTTTTTATTTTGTGACATAATTTTTTAATTAATTTTTAATTGATTCATGAAATTCAATTGACATTTGTATCTTAAAAGTTACAAACATCATGAAATATGTGTGAAAAATGTCTCAAACAAGTAAAAAATGACATGAATTTATATTTTTTGAAAATTTTATTTTTCTCTGGATTTATTTTTATTAAGTTTTTGCTATTTTATAATATTTTTTTATTTAACTTTAATTTTGTTCAATAATTTTCATATAAGTAGAAAATATTATTATTTTAAAATGAACAAATTGACCTAAATTTAAGAAAAATATCAAAATAAATATTTAAAAAATAAAAGATAAAAAATATAATTTAATATTGTTTTAATAACATATATTAATAATGATATAATATTATTAAATGTTTCCTATTGATGTGTAGTTACTTTAATAAATAAATAAAGAATTATATATATAAGATCGG